CCAATTCACCATATTTGTCTAAAGCTTCTCTGCTTTTCTCTATCTACTTCTGGACTTTTTTTCTACTCTGTATTTTTTCTTAATACTAGAATGAGATAAGCAATTTCTGTCAAGTATAATTAAACTATACATCACTCTGATTCTCAAATGTTAGGTGTATGTTCATACTCTTTATGTTCAGTCTAACATTTGAAATTGCAGGAGGTAAACTTGCCAAAGAAAGCTGTTACTTGGAATTAAAAGATTACGAAGGGATATATCAATCAAACATTCAGTACCAGAAAGGACCTCAGAGATTTCTGTCTCCCTTCTGCCCATTTTATAGATGAGGAAGTAATATTGAGAGAAGGGACAAAGATTAGTAAGTTAGAGGTATGATTTGAAACCAGGTCTTCCTGAATCAGAGCCCATTGTGTTCTGCACTATGTTGCAACTCATTCAATTTTTCTTCCACTAATCTTTCCATTTATCCTTCAAAATGTTTCTGGGACCTCCCATAGTGGGAACAATTCTTTTCTAAATGAGGTGCCAGTTACATATGTGTTATTTCAATAAATGCTATATTGTGTGTTTTCCAGAAACCCACACTCCTTCAATTTTCCTTGTGCTATACTTGTTCAGATCTGTTGAATCTAGGAAGTTAGTGATCTCTTCCACGGTCCTATATCTGAAACTAGGAAGCCCTGGAAATTCTTACCATAATTGGTCTGATCTGATGACAAAGACTAACGTCACTTCTCACCTTGATTTTCACATCTGGTATGACGATCATATTGTCACTTCATCTGACTGATCAAAGGAGAATTTATAGGTTTCTAGGTTCTTCTGAGACATTATTCCCTGAAGTGTAGGAGAGTTTAATGACTTCTGTACTATCACCTCAGGGAGGTTGCCAGGTATTTGCATCCATAATCTGTGTTAAAGTCTTAATTGCTACTTAATTACAAGAGCTATTAAACTATTATCATACAAAATGAGACACACAGTGATGTTTCACATTTTAATCTTCCAACAATTATGATTTCCTGTGTTCCATGCATATAATTTTTAGGTAGCTTAGAACAGATGCTCTGAATTTTCTTTCTATGTGCTTGAGAACTCTGAGAAGATCCTCGTATCAACACAGGCTCTGTCCTGCCTCTAAAATTTCTAATTTCCTCCTTACACATGCAGGTGGGACAGAAGTATGATTGCACTGATGTAGGAGTTAAGAGAAGGGAAAACAATAACAGCACTGGAAAATACATACTAGAAGGCAGTAGTCACAAGGAGATTCATTCCTTGATATGTCCATCCATTTTAGCCATCTGTACTTTCATTCATCCATCTATTCATTCACCCGTTCATCCATTCATCTATTCATCTGCTGCTTTGATAAAAACGATGAAAAAAAAGAAAAGCTTACATTGTTTTGGTGGTAAATAATGTATATATTCACTAAATATAAAGTTTACAATAGAAAAAAATAGACCAAAATACTGGATGAGGGAAAAAAACAGTAACTGAAGTAAAAAGAAAGTAATTCCTTCAAGAGGTGGTAACTAAGCTGAGTTTTCAAGGAAATGAAGTATTTTACATGGCAAATATGAGAAGAGGATGGGTTGCAGGCAGGCTAAGATAGGAGATGGCATGTTATAGTTATGGAACTGAAGAAGGCCAATTTGACTGGATCAACTCAAGGAAGAATAAATAAGGAATAAATCTGGAATGATTGGCTGGAGACCAACTGAAAAGTGTTCCAAAGAATTTTTTTTTCCCATGACATATTTTACCTTACTAGAAAAATATTCTTTCTGAGAATTAGACATGAAGTTCTCTAGTCTTTAGCTAAAAGCTTTAAAATCACAGCATGCAAAACATTTTCATTTTCATGTAATATGAGCATAAATGAAGTAAGTTAAACAGACTTCGGAACATATGAGGAAGGAGAAACTCAATTAGAGAAATAAACTCTTTCTAGACAATCAGAATCTTCGCATCCATGTGAATCAATGAGCAGATTGAATTGGCTCCCCTTGCAAGGCAATTGTCAATCCTTAATTTGTTTAATAGGGACTAGAATCTTAAGAGAGTGCTGCTTTGTCATTCTTTAGAAAGACTGTCTGAAGAAGGCTGGAGAACTGAAAAACAGAGAGAAAAGACAAAGAAAAGAGTTTTCCTGAGAGAGCTGTCTTGAGAAGAAACAAAGAGAATTTTTGAGAGGAGACTTTATTTGGTACCTTGAGAGAGCTGAATTGGGGGATTATGTTTCCAAACCTGAAGTCAGCAGTTCCAATGAAGATTAGATCAGTTTCTGACTGTGGCTTTTTTCACCTGTCATAATACTCTTAATAAGTGTCTGTTTCTTTGTTTGTTTGTTACATTTTCAGTGAATTGCATAGATAGTAAGTAATCTAGATGATCACTGAAGTCTAGGTTATTAAAGGAAGTTTGATAAGCATATTGATAAATTATCAAAAGTACAGTGGAAAAGTTTTATCCCATTTAATAAAGAATGTATAATGAATTGAGGGTGGGACCTGAGTGTTAATTAATTACCTCTCAGTAATCAAAGCGTATTGGCTCTTTATTAGGGCCTCATACAAATATTAAATCTGGTTTAGCTTTTATAGCCTTTAATAACTCGACTTCTTCTTACCTTACTCCTTCTATTTACCCTGATCCAGTGATACTGTCTACCTTACTTTTCCTTAAACACTCCATCTTCTCACTCAGAGCATTTTTTCTGGCTATATCACAGGCTTAGAGCCCTCTACCTCCTTATGCCTGCATCCTAGATTCCCTGGCTTCCTTCAGGTCCCAGATAAAGCCCCAAATTCTTCAAGAAGCCTTTTCCCATTCTTAATCTCAGTGCCCTCCCTCTGAGACTGTTCCCTATTGATCCAGTACAAATCTTTTATTCATCATTGATTCCATGTTGTCTTTGGATTAGACATTGAGCTCCTTGAGACCTAAAACTATTTTTTTTTGCTTTTATTTCCCTGTCACTTAGCACATTACTTTTAGCAAAGCAGAAGACAATGAATGCTTGTTGACAAACTAATTATGACAGATATGTTATGATTTTAGTAATCAATGTAGAAACAAACTAACATACCTCCTTTATTGCCTTAGAACTTGGAATAAGAATAAGGAAAATGAGCCAGTAGCATGCAGGGTACAGTTGGAGGCGAATATCTCTGTGTGTGTGTGTGTGTGTGTGTGTGTGTTGTGTGTTGTTGTTGTTGTTGTTGTTGTTGACACAAAATTAGAATTCCAGTGTCAGGGGTTGGGGAAAAGAAGATTGTCCAAATATGAATCCAACAACAAATGGAAGATGGACTTCCAGATCCTTCACAGATGCATGTATGTTCTGAATTAAATTGTTCTTTGCCATAACCCAGCAACTGAATACACTGATTTCCAAATTAGAAAAATAATGAATTTAAGGAAGAAAAAGTAGAATTTGAGGGTAACATAATTGGTTATTATTAAGCTTCTAAGAATGACAGGTGATATACAGGGAGTCCTGATGTGGGTCCTCTACATCATGGGGTTATGTTTGTTCCTCTATTCTCATGTCCATAGGAATATAGCCTATGAAATATCTCAACTCTTTTCCTTTGGTAAAGATTCATGATACATTAAATTACCTAAATAAGTGGGCCACATCAAAAACTATCTTTCTATACTCAAATACATAGGTTCAGGTAACTGTAGAGACCAATAATGGCAGCACATGAATAGAGTGTGTATTCTACACTCTGGTCCACATTACCTTTCTCTAACCCTTCCTGTTTTATGTACTTCCTTTTCAAATTGATGAATGAAGAAAATGACAATATAATCTAGGTGAAGGTCCTGCTCAGAATCAGAACTATAGTTAGGGAATATGAGTATAATTTTGAAGGCACCCTTACCAATCCTGCCTGACTCTTAGCTAATGACCACAAAGCACTCAATTAGTTGAACTGGAGTTAATCCATCTGAAGTATGTACAAGATAACCAAGTATCAGCTTTCAACAAGTTTATGAGGGTTTCATATTAATTCTGTTCTATCATAATCCCCACCCTCTCCCAAATTCTAATACTTTTGCTCTTTTATCTAAAACTCATCCTGTTTGTAGCTGGTTTGTACAGACTGGTTTGAATGTTGTATTTCCAATTAAAAGGTAAGCTTAAGAACAAAAACAGTCTTGTCTTTCTTTGTATCTCCAACAATTAGTACAGAACGTGGTATATAATAGACATTTAATAAGTATTTACAGATAGACAAAAATAGGATAAAGTAGCATTTACTTTTAAGTCCATATGAACGGGTACTTGAATGACCTCAGAATATCATTAGATCATTCAACAAAATATGTACATAGGCATACACACACACACACACACACACACACACACACACACACATATAGTTTTAAGCAGATTTCTGAAACTCAAATCCTCCTTCCCTCACCTATACCAGGATAAGGGTGCACACACAGCTCACATTCCTTCACTTGCAATTCTGCTTAGTTTTATGAATGACTCTCTTAGTAGGAAGTAGAAAGACTCCCAAGAATTGATATGAAATTCTTAGTCCACTGTCTTGTGATTTCCACTTTTAATCAATATAATTTTACTTGGTTCTGGGCCCTTGTCTGCTTTTGATCCCTAAGCTTATTTCTCCTCCATTCTTTTCTACAACTATCTTCCTTTCAGACTGTTAACAACAGATGTCAAATAGGTAGCCCACTTTGGATTACTGCCTGAATAAGCTTAAAAATAATTAGGAAATATGTAACAAAATAAATAAAAATATTATAAAACATAATGTTAATATGTGGTTTTCTAAGTCAATATGTAACTATAGCGGTCCTTGTTTGAATTTGATACCCTTTCTTTATTCATTTTTCAATACTTTTACCTACTATCTAATTTTCTTATATTCCTAGCCATTTACTGATTGGGCCCTTTATATGACAACCCCTGCCTTAGCTTATGAATCTCATGGTTTACTTGAATATTTATCAATTTATATGTTTTTAAAAATTTGGCTAGGGTTGGTAAGGACTCTCTTCGCAGCCTCCTTCACATCCTTGTTCCTCAGGCTATAGATCATAGGATTCAGCATGGGAATCACTAGTGTGTAGAAGACGGAGGCCATTTTATCAGTGTCTAAGGAATGGTTTGAGCGGGGCTGCAAATACATGAAAAGGAGTGTCCCATAGAAAACAGTGACAGCCATCATGTGGGAAGCACAGGTGGAGAAGGCTTTCTTTCTCCCTTCTGCTGAACGTATCCTCAGGATGGCCAAGATGATGTAGAAATAGGACACAATTACAATGATCATGGAAAAGAAGAGATTAGTTCCTGAAAAAATAAAGACTGCCATTTCTGGGATGTAGGTGTCAGAGCAGGATAATGCTAACAAAGGGACATTGTCACAGTAAAAATGATTGATGACATTGGAAGAACAGTAAGACATTGAGAAAACACAAGAGGTGACAGTCACTGCTGTAGTTAAACTGTAGATATAGGTAAGGACAACAAGTAGAATGCAAACCTTCTGTGATACCACAACCATGTATAACAAGGGATTGCAAATAGCCACATAGCGGTCATAGGCCATGGCAGCCAACATGAAAATCTCAGCAACAATGAAGACTAAGAAGCCTCCCAGTTGAGTTGCACACCCATAATAGGAAATGGTTTTCTTCTCTACCAAGAAATTGACCAGCATCTGGGGAGCAATGACAGTGGAATTGCCAAGATTGATGAGAGCCAAGTGTCTCAGGAAAAAGTACATGGGAGTTTGAAGTCGAGAATCTATAGTACTAAGTGTGATGATTCCCACATTTCCGGTCACCGTCACTCCATAGATTGCTAAGAAGATGAAGAAGAGGGGAACTTGAAGCTCTGGACACTCTGAGACTCCGATGAGAATGAATGTGGTCACGTGGGAGACATTTGTTGGAATCATTTATTCTGTTGGTTCATCTGTTATTGGGAAAAATGTGGAGCTGGTTTAGAGGGTTTAGGATGAGTTTCCCAGAAATGCCATTTCAAGTAGACAATGATGTCCTGGAATTTATTGCGCTGTTATCACAAGTTAGAGAAATCTGTCAGACTTGGAGAGATATTTTACATGAATTCTAAGCTATATTTAATGATGCAAAAGAACCAGGATACAAAGCTCTTTCAGGGAAGAGTTAGGATTCTTTCAATAATGATAACTCATCTCAACAGAATAAGCTTCAGCATTGTAACCTGAGGAAAGGGGTTAAAATTCTGTTCTGTCGCATGCTAGCCATATGAGCATATACAACATTCCTGGAACTTGGGTTTCTCATTTTTTTTCAAAGAGGCATTTGACTAAATAATTGCTAACCTCCTTTCCAACCTTAGATTTGTTTTCCTCAAGAGTTAAGAAAATAAACAAGTGCATCATTTAAAGGTTTTGATTTTATGTTTCTTTGGTGATAATCACACAGTATTAAAAAGTGTTGAGTCCATAGAAAATACTCAGCAAGGACTTGTTAGAGATTACACTTCAATTCTACAGGGAAAATCATAGCCCTCCCTCAAGTCTAGTGTATTCCCTCTGCTGATTATCTCAGATTTATCATGAATTTAGTTTGCTTTTACCTAGGTGTTTGCGTGTTGTCTCCCCATTAGACTGTGATCTCTTTTACAGCAGCAACTGTCTTTTCACTTTCTTTGTGTCCCTAGCACTTAGCACAGTGTCTGACACATAACAGATATTTAATCAATGTTTATTGACCGACAAAAATCCTTCTTTTCTGAGAAAATCAGTGATCATTTTCAGAAGCTCTAATGATTCTGTTTATAGGACAATAATTGTTTTATTGGGGGAAAAGAAAACATCTACAGGCTTGGTAGATGGTGCAGTAGTAAATAATAATTCGGTAGAAACTTAGAAATTATATTAAATCTTAGACTGAATTATAGAAACATTATATTTAATATCAAGAGGGAACCAATACCGTTCTCCTCTTCTCTGATGAAAAGTCAAATCTGTGTTCATTTCTAAGCACAACAGTTAAGGAAGGAAGTTGATAATGTGGAAAATAACTAATATCAAGAACAACTGAAATTTTACCACATAAAGATTAGTCAAAGAAATGGAAAGTGATTAAACTGGTGAAGAAAAGAATTGCAATTGAGTGGGAGCAAAACAGCTGTCTTTAAACATTTTAAGGTCTATCACTTCTAGGACTCAAAATACTCAAACTACAATAGGGGAAACTGAGGCACAGCTCCAAGCCAATAGCACTTTATTTAAGGGATCAGACTTCTTCTAATGAAGTGGATCTCAAATTTTCTTCATGATCTGACATGCCTTCTGATCCCTATGGCCTTACTTAAAGAACTTGGTACCCAGATATACAGAAGAGGCAAAGTAAAATACAAAACCCAAAAACTTTGCTCTTGACCCTCCAGGTGAGCACAAAATGATGTAATCAACATGAGGTCATGGGTTGGGTGGATCAGGGGTCATCTCTGCTGACTAGGTCATCATAACATGGGCTTCTCCTCATGTTGGGCAAGACAGGATGGTCTGGAGATACAAAAATAAATTGGGGGACCATCCATATTATGCCAACACTTCCCATCCATCCTGAGTTTCACTATGGCAACTGAGAAAACAGGATGGAGATATCATTTCAGAATTCTTGTGGTTATACAAGTGAACTTAATAACTGGTAAATAAGTGGTAAACAGTGAATTTAGAGTTTTAAATCTTGAGGCCTATTGTAAGAAAGAAACTATCTTGTCTAATTATCCCTTCATGTAAAATATTTATTAATACATGTTGCTCTTGTACTATTATCACATAGCTAAGTTGACTAAATGTATATTATTAGATGCATATTTCATTAATATTTGTTAACGATTATCAACCCTTATGGAATCACACTGAATTGATTAATACTGATTGGAATAAAATAGGGATTCAAATGAATCATTTCCCTCACACTGAGAGGAGAGATTCTACTTGTTTTATTTAACCCATCAGAGTAGAAATAAGAGTAATGAGTAGAAGAGGCAGGAAACCAAAGTTTGATAAAATTAAAGGAAAATTATGCTAAAATATATATGTGTCAGAAAATGGAATGGCCTATCTTGAGAGGCTGAGAGTTTACCATGATGGGAGTTCTTCAAGTGGCGGCTACTGGTGACAGAACATTGAAATTAAGAATCCACTCAACTGGGTTAGGAGGAGAATACATTTTGAGCCCCTGTAAGTGAATGACTTTTAGAAAGCAAGATCAATTGGAGGTGTGAGAGACTGGAGTACTTAGGGTCTACAGTGGAACCTTAGTTCCACTAGACTTTTTAAAAGCTTAATTGGAATTTATTTAAGTTGTACTCAGTGGAAGAAAGAAAACAAGCATTCATTAAACACCTACCATGTTCCAGAAACTGTGCTATAGGCTTTTCAAATATTATTTTACTTGGTCCTCACAAAAACCCTGGTAGGTAGGTGCTATGGGAATTTCAAACTAGAGTGAAAATGAAAGTTGATGAGACCAGGCACATTACAGTGAATCATATTTTTTAACAGAAGATATTCATCTTTCTTTGATGATAGGCACATAAACTGATATCCTAAGTACATTTAAAAGGGTTAGCATTCCCAAACACTCGTGAGGTACAATGTAGTTCTAGCAAAAATAATAAATAAATAAATAGATGAATAAATAAATAAATAGTTGACTGACTGAATAAATAGATGAATAGATAAATAAATAAATAGATACATGAATAAATGAATGAATGAATAATTCTGGGTTTGATTTGTACCAGACTCATTTTTTTAGGCATTAGATGTTTTCTGTTTAATCTTAATGAGCTCAACTTTGGATAAAGGACATGAGTTACAAAGAAGTGCATTTCATTTCCATGTAAGATATAAGGCCATATTTCCTCAGAAAAAATATTTTCCGTAATTGAGAGCACGCTGGGAGGTACTAGGCTCCCTTTTGTTAGAGTTTTTCAAACTCATGGGTTTCCCAGCTTATCTAAAGGCAGATGCTGGATCAGACACCAGTTGGTCAGTATGTCTTTCATAGTCCTTTCTAAGTGAGATTCTTTTCTGTCACTTCCAACTTCAACATATGTGGAAATTTTTTTAAAAAGATGATTCAATAAAATCTTAATGGTTCAAGCAATAGTGACCAGTCAGATTCTTCTGTGATATCCTTCCAAGGTATTGAGCTCCTGCATTAGTCTAAGCTCTTTATCCCTAGTGAATACTATGGGATTCTGCACTGGTTTTCAACCTCAAAGTACTGCAGAAATATGAGCTATTCTTATCTACTTTAGAACTCTCATCATCCCTTTGACTCTGCCCAGTGATGATTCAGGCATTATCATGCACATAAATGCCAGTAAGGGTCCCACAATTCAGCAGCAAGTTTAGGTTTTTAAGACAATTGATGGTCAGGCATAAAGGTACACATCTATGGCTCCTACTCCTGAGAAGAATGAGGCTGGGGTTCTGAGCTCCAGTAGGATTAAAGCTGATAAGATGACTTGCACCAGCATAGTGAGGCCTTAAAAACATGAGAAATGAAGCAGTCTAAGTCAGACATGGAACAGGTCACAGCTCCTAGAAAAGGGGGGAGGTTGGGTTCATGAGCAGCCATAGCACATCCAGACTGGGTATGTAAGGGAAATCAAGCCTCAAAAAATATATATAATTACTACGGTTCTATGTAGTAGATAAGCTTGCAACATCTTAATCGTCCTTACCTGTTCCCTGACAATATGATCCAAACTGATTCTTTATCACTTTTGAAGGAAATGTACCTCCTCCTACATTACCAAAGTAATCTTCATAGACTCTAGGAAGAAGAAAATAAAGCAGAAGGAAAGAAGGAAGTAAGAAAATGAAGAAAGCAAAGAAGGGACAGAGAGAGGGAGGGAAGAAAGAAAGAAGGAAGAGAGAAAGGTAGGAAGGAAATGAAGAAGAGAGGGACAGAAGGAAAAATGAAGAAAGGAGAAAAACAGAAAGGTAGGAAAGGAGAAGGAAAGGGAGTAAGAGAAGAAGAAAGGAAGAAAGAAAAGTAGGACAGAAAAGAGGGATGGAGAAAGCAAGGAAAGAAAGGAGAGAGGAAGAGAAAAAGAAAGAGAGGGACCAGGGGAGGAAAGAAGGAAGAAAGGAAATAAGGAAGGAAGGAAAGGAAAAAGAAGGAAGGAAGGAAGAGAGGGAGGGAAGAAGGAATGAAGGGAGGAAGGGAGGGTGTTTAAAATTAGCCATTTTGATGAGTTAGTAAACCACTAGTGATACATTCAACAAGTCAAAGTGGTGGGGTAGATTTGAATGCGTAGATTTCAAAGCTCATCAACTTTAACTACCAGGCAATATGGCTAAGACAATCACAGCAATTGAAGCAGGTGTAGACTTTCATACTAAGTGACCTTAGAACTCTATTGCTCACATGAAACAATGTCTACTGTAGTCATTGAAGACACTAGCCAAAGAAGCTGCAAAAACTGACTAATTAGCAAAAGTTCAAGTAGAAACAGAGATCCACGCAAAAGGTTCTTATTAAAGTGAGAAAAAAAAAATCAGAATTCCTCTCTGATCCTGTCTTTCCTTTGATACTGTCAGGAAACACCCCTGGCAAACCCTTCCCACACTATTCCTCTATTTCATCCCAATAGGCCTTGTTCCTTGGGATTTTCTGCCACAATATGAAGACTAAGCCATTGCCATATGTGTTCATTGAGCCTTTAGTTTATAAAAGTAAGTTTTATGTCTGACCTCCCTCACTCTGAACCCAAATCTTTTAACACAATGTGTATATCTTCTCCTTATTTTTTTTTCAGGCAATTGGGGTTAAGTGACTTGCCTAAGGTCACACAGCTAGTAAGTGTTAAGGGTTTGGTCTGAAGCTGGATTTGAACTCAGGTCCTCCAGACTTAAGGGCTGGTGCTATATCCACTGTGCAA